TCACACTACGCTAACGTTAGCTTCCGACAACAAGCCGTCCGGGGCAAAACAAAAGAAACTGAGGGAATCACTAACATTACCGGCCGATTCTCCGCGCACCATAAGTTAGTGTGGTTCGAGCTGAATGATCAGCTTGAAGCCTTCGTTTTTGATTGATCGATTCAGAACCTTATGAATCAAAATCGAATCGATTTAGGAAATTGGCCATGATGCACAGTTTTATAGGACAGCATTTGACGTTTTAGTTCAAGTTTATAAACTCGTCTAAAGTTGTGTTTTTTATCCTTTCACTAATTCACCAAACAATGCTAACTTAATTCCCTCCCTCTCTTCTCTGTAGGAGTCCATGATGGACTTCTTCAATGCCCAGATGCGTTTGGGTGGTCTAACTCAGGCCCCTGGAAACCCTGTCCTTGCTGTACAGATCAACCAGGATAAGAATTTTGCCTTCCTTGAGGTGAAATAATACACTCAAACATGCCTTTGGGTGTTTGTCAGTTAAGCCATGCTTGAAGAACAGTTTTGATAAGATACTGATAATGGTAAGATGGTAAGAGCAGTTTATTCACCTGTAGTTTTGTTCCTGTGTAGTTCCGTTCAGTGGATGAAACAACACAGGCAATGGCCTTTGATGGCATCATCTTTCAAGGCCAGAGTCTCAAGATTCGCCGTCCACACGATTACCAGCCCCTGCCCGGCATGAGCGAGAACCCCAGTGTCTATGTGCCTGGTACACAGACAATTAATGGTTTTTAACTCTAAGTACTTGTGGCATAATTCATAAGTAATCAGTAATTTCTTACCTAGAGGAGCTTGCTCCTTGTGCCTTACTGTTTGTGTGTTACTGTTGTGTTTTTTTTTTGTCTCTTGTAGGTGTGGTGTCGACAGTGGTGCCTGACTCAGCTCACAAGCTCTTCATTGGTGGCTTGCCCAACTACCTGAATGATGACCAGGTCAGTATTTCTACATGAAACAAGCTCAATCCTCCAAACTAGGTTACAGTTGTAAAGGTTATACTCTCTTGCACTTGTATTTTGTATTTAGGAATCACTCAACTTTTAGTGACCCTCTTGTCTTGTGTGTCTCAGGTCAAGGAGCTGCTGACATCATTTGGCCCCCTGAAGGCCTTCAACCTGGTGAAGGACAGTGCCACAGGCTTATCTAAAGGATATGCCTTTTGTGAATATGTTGATGTCAACCTTAATGACCAGGTAACCAATGCCACAGAAAGAAAGATGTTGACAGGACATTTATTATATCCCCCCCTTTTTTTGATGATCAGACAAATACTACAGTGTCATATTAAACTTTCATAACTATGGATTTTTTTGAAAGTATAATTTAAAACCTCAATATTGTTACAGGCTATCGCTGGGCTGAACGGCATGCAGCTGGGAGACAAGAAGCTCCTGGTGCAAAGAGCCAGTGTGGGATCCAAGAACGCCACTCTGGTGAGTGTCCAAACGCTGGACAGATGACAGCAGGGTGGTGGGAGGCTGGATGCTCTTTTTAGAGTTGCAAAACCAGATAAAGACACATTGTGGATGAAATCTACTGGAGCCATTTATCTGCTACACTATCTGACACACTGCTAAGAAGTGCAACTGTATTATTATTATTTTTGCAAGGTAGTCTGTTCTGCATACACAACAGCTGTTCACTACTATTGCGTGGTTACTTGGCATGAGCAGCACTGCAATGTATTTCACTGAATTTTAATTAACAGTCACTGGCTTTCAAACTTTTAAACACTAGCTTTAAAGTAGGTGGCTACAATGTATTATTCATGATAAATTATTATGGTATCATGGAAAGTAACCTCAAAATATGATGCAACATATAACATAACCTACTGGGCCACTTTCACTCTGATTTGCCACCTAAAGACATCCTGTATAGGGATGGGACCCGAGAACTGGTCTGATCGATCAGAATCCTTTATCAGTGTCGGGATGTTTTTCTGACACTTGCTCATCAACAAAGTGATGTAAAACTCACGTGTCTGCACTGCTGGAAACTTGTAACAGTATTCTTTAATTTCATCCATTTTAGGCGATGGCAGACTGTTGCTACATCCTTTTTATCTTAAGGCCTACGTTTTTTCCCCACACAGAAAAAAGATCAGACCAATAAGCAGAATAGACAATGGCATTTGTATCAATAATATCTTATCAGTTCCCCTCCCTCCTCCTGTAAGTATTTTCAGATGAAGAGGACTATATTGCATTGTATTCATATATATTCTGATGCACATATTCTCTCAGCAAGAAAGCATAACGTCAGTCATTTACAAATTACAGCAAGACAATCAAAGCAGCATGAGGCTTAATATAAAAACAGTTAGTGATACCTAGTAGTACATAAAACTGAAACTAGTGGACTACAGGTATGCTAGAACATTTTTTGTAATTTATTTAATTGTGGTTTCAAGTGCCAGCAGTAGGGAAGGCCTGTCTACTTCATTATATGAAAGTGAAAAATATGAGACACTGCTTTGGCCAGTAAGATTTAAATTGAATGTCATTGTAGATGTTTTGCAGCTAGTTGTGATACTTCAGTCCTTAACTCTCTTCTAACCTTTCTGTCTGTCCTTCCAGACAAGTATAAACCAGACCCCAGTGACGCTGCAGGTGCCAGGTCTGAACAGCTCAGTGACTCAGATGGGTGGCCTGCCCACTGAGGTGCTGTGTCTGATGAACATGGTGGCCCCAGAGGAGCTGCTGGATGATGAAGAATATGAGGAGATTGTGGAGGACGTCAGGGACGAGTGCAGCAAGTACGGTCAAGTTAAGAGCATCGAGATACCTCGACCTGTGGACGGCTTGGAGGTGCCTGGAACCGGCAAGGTGGGAATGGATATCTGATTCATCCAGAATTGAATTTGTCTTAAATTAGATGTCCTGAAAAGTGTTAGTCATCATTCTAATGGTTATTTTTCACTCTTCTGCAGATCTTTGTGGAGTTCATGTCAGTTTTTGACTCCCAGAAGGCCATGCAGGGGCTTACAGGAAGGAAGTTCGCCAACAGGGTGGTGGTCACCAAATACTACGATCCAGACGCTTATCACCGCCGGGACTTCTGGTAGAGGAGGCATGAAGACAAGACAAGACGGGATGGGGGAGGGAGGGTGGGAACGTGTGCTGTCCATTTCCAAATCAGCCCCCCGATTGATTTGGTAGAGCAACATTTCAGGTAGATCTTGGGAGTATTAATGATTTGACAAATGGCTTTGGTGATATCCAGTTTACCATTTGAGATCTACGTGAAATGCCCAGCAGTTAAAACAGATACTTGGAATTGGAAAAGGAGAATAATTGGGGAGGGGGGGTTTATATTCAGTCCATAACAGAGGGGGCTGGGTTTGGGTGGAGAGGGTGTAGCTGGGTGGGTGGGGGAGTCAAAGATTTTTGAGAAAATGTGTGTAATAATAGGTCCGGGGTGGGGTCAACAATTTTTATACTTTGTGAGACAGGGAAGTCATATTGGGTGGGAGGGGGGTGCCACACTTTAAGGTTTGTATTTAAATGGAGGTAGCCTGTTTTAAGAACATTAGAAAGGAGTTGCAGTAGGGAACTAACTGGACTATTCTGATTGAAAAGAGAGATTGAGAAAACAGGAGTGTTTATTTGTCAATGGGAGATGTGAGGGAGATGGAGAAGGAAGATGAGGGCATTTTTGTTTGACTGTCTAATGTAGATATACAGTAGCTGTAACATCAACTTCAGTTTTGCCCCCATCATTAGAAAGGCAAGAGGAGAGTCCTCATTTTTGTTTAGTTTTTTTCTTTTCTTTTGGGACTCCATCATTTCTTCATGTTCCGTTTTCATCAGACTACTGCCCCCCTCAGGACGAGTGTCAGAGAATCTGTTGTTTAATTGGACTCTATCTGAATGTTAACTGTAATTATACTGTGTGTAGCTTCACTGATTTGAGCTGTAATATCACCTTGTATTCAGGCCGCAGAATAACATGAACTGCAGAAAAGAACGTTTGATTTTCTTTCTTTTTATTTTCTGTTTTTCACGTCCATCTTTTGTGCACAGCTTTTAACAGGTGGGATTGTTTTGTCCTGACAGTCCAAATCCGGTTTAATTCAAGAGGAAATAAACAAAGGAAGATTGAGAGAGGCAAAGAGATTGGCATTTAATTGTGGATTTATCTCTTCCTTACCAAAAAAGCCTTAATGTTAATACATGTCCAATTCGCTTATGATAGAAATTCGGCTTGCCCCTCTGTCAATGATGTCTGTCTGTTCATAGATGTCACTAACTTGTACTTTAGCCTTGCATCACCAGTTTTCCTTTTTCCTTGTTTCCCAGCAGATTTAGGATGTAAGATGTGTTGGACCCGGTTGTTTTTTTGTGCAACGTCTCACCTCTTTGACCAAGACCAAATAAACACGTGACTAATAACCACGACTCATGTTGTACTGCAGAGTAAAACCAAAACCACACAACTTCTTCCTGCTCTGTCAACTTCCAGCCTCATGTTTAAAAAAAAGATAAATTAATAGGTGCTGTCTTGTACAAAGAAAGTATTACAATTAAACCTAATGCTGCGATAGCACATTAGAGCTTGCAGACAGAATTATTTCCACAAACCTAACTAAATTTAAACAAAATAATTTTACATTTTATAATGCTCAATCAATTCACTAAATGTCAGAGGTAGTTGTTGGGATGTTAGAAACTGTCCGTATGTACTTAGACAAAAATCTGCTTTTCTCTCATCTCCCTCATCTTCTGCCCTTGATTCTCTGAGGACCACATGTTCACACTGTACGGGCTTGAGACTGCTTTCATTTGATACCTTGGGTTGCTTAAGACAGCGCTGAAGAGAGATTTGTGTCAGTGATAACACTTATGAGATGTTACTCCCTACTTTCTGAAACCTGCTTTCTCAGTGTCACTGTGTCATTTAATTTCTTTTTTTTTTCTCTGGAAAAAATGTGATTTCTTAAATGATTTAAAACCTAAAAAACCACACCTAGTTTATAAAAAAGCAAAAACAGTCTTTCATTTGTCCAATTTGTTTTCAAATGTTGATTAAAAACTGAATTTACATGATTTTTTTCTCCTTTATGTTTCCTCTCTTATGCACATCCACCCGCCCCACTGCAGCACGGTATTATTCAAACAGTGAGTGATGACATTCACAGTTAATTATGGAGATGGAGTAGACTGGAGCCATGTCCAGCCAGTTTCATTCAGTCGATGGCATCATTTATCAAGACCTGTAGTTAATAGCAATGTCCGAACGATGGAGCTATTTCACAGATGCTAAAAATACCCCTTCAGATCTTTTTCTGTAATATGAAAACTGTATATTACTCTCATAGTGCAATATAATCTGGGTATAAGTACATTTTTCTAACTCTTTATACATTTTTCTTCTCCAAAAATGACCTTTTTAGCATCATAACCCAGTCAACTTGTTGAAGTATATGTACTTATCTTTCAGATCATTTCAGGTCTTATTTTAAACATGATTCACGGATTCGCTTCTCAACCAGACGAATGATCTTCCCAAACATCTCGCAAGCAGAGACCTGATGTGTGGAACTCCTTTTCTCATTTGGTGTAAATTATATCTTCCTTAAAGTCATACAAAACATATATGTAAACAATCTTAATCTTGTATTTAACACTTCTTATATTTAACACTGAATGTGTGTTCTTATTTATTCTGAGCCAATCAATACGTTTTAAGCTTTTTCACTCTCTGCATGTTTAATGTGCAAATAAATTAAATTCATATTTATGTTTATGCCCAAAGCAGGGAGATTTATATAATTATGAAGTGCTTAGGAAAAGCCTCTTGTTCTTGAGTTGGAGCAGCATATATGCTTTACTCAGAAATCAAGTAACTTGTTTATCTGGTCTTTTTCTTTATATTGAAGTCAGTGCACACAAGGCTTGGTCAGCAGCAATAAATGCCATAAGCTGTGTCCACCTGGGACCTATTCAACAGGGAGTTCCTGTAAAACAGTAACAGAAAAGCAACAAATCTCTGACATGAAATAATGTCCTGTGTCAGCTCTATACTGCCCATCTCCATCTGCATCGCTGCACCCCACTGCACAAAACCCAGCAGCAGGGCCACTGATGCAACACTCGCTACCCTGTTGTTCCCTGAGGGCACAGATAAAACAGCAGCTCTCCTGGGCTGCTGAAGCCACATCCACCAGAGGAAACATGTAAAACAGACACTGCCTCTCTTATGAGGACATTCAGGCCGCCTAACATGAGACCTATTAAATGTTATTAGCAGCCCTCCCCAGGCCTGATGCTGCAGTGAAGATTGTAAATACATTATCTCCCCCTAGTGGTGAATGTAAAACTCTAGTGATGGTCATTGTCATTCTGGGCAGTGCCTCCCCATTGATCCTCATTCAGAAAGATAGAACACTGCAGCAGTGGGAGAGTGCAACACTGAAGTAGGATGGATGCAGAACTCTGTGTACATTACGCCAGTTTGCATTCAGCGCATAGGAGTAAAAAACATAATGCGAACATCCCATGGAAAAAGACTTTGACTTAAAATAACTTAAAAACCTGGTGCAGAGAGATGTCAGGTTGAATGTGAATATGCATAGGACATTCTGACATGTCACAGTAGGAAAAGCACCGGTTCAGTTAAGAAAATTAATGATGGCTGAATTCCATTTAGCTGCTTCAGTTTCAGGGTCCTGGTCGAACTTACAGGGACACTTGAATGGAACGGATGAACTGTGCTTTTCCTACTATGGGTGTCAAATGATCTGCTGTAATTAAGGCCTATCAGCACAGTTTGTCAGCAATTAAAGACATGTTAATAAAGAAAAATGCATTCATATGTTTAAGGGGACAGTCTCAAAAGTTGTGACATTTGTCAAACACGGACAAACTGCACTTTCAAATACAAACAGCAGAACTGCAGACCCATACAGTTTATAGTGGAGTGAGGAATACTGGTAATACAAATGTAACCCCCCTGTGTGGCACTGCTTCTGATGGTGCTATAATAACTGAAATTATATATATATATTGTTTTAATTCATTTAATTTTTTTTTTTTGCCAGAAACATCTGGTGGGCCAAATCGAAACCTTAATGCGGGCCAACTTTGGCCCCCGGCCCCCATTTTTGGCAACCCTGAGTTAAAGGATAAGTCCATCTCTCAATATTTACTTTCAACAATCATTAATAAAGCTGTCTAATCTAATCTAATCCTATCTGTCTATGTATTTCTGCCTCAAGCCTGTTTGTTCCTACTGGAGAGGTAAATACATGTCACAAAAAAAAATTGACCAAAACAGTTGAGCACTAGTTTTTTTTAATCAAAAATCACTTTAACAGGAGTAAATTGCTAATTTGTTGGGGACTATTTTCTGCTGCGGATTTGTTATGCTACCTTGTATTTACGGCCCAAAATTCCTGCATGTGGGATCAACTGAAAATAAAGTACAGTGCCCATATTGTCCAGTAATTGATATATTTTTAATGTGGTTTCTGGACCGCAATGGAGAACTTTGACACAGAGGAATAAAGTATATCACGCGTACTTGGAATACTTGTTAACAGATCAATTAATTGTTGGTTTTGGTATTTACACAGGATTTGTTTCCAATAAGAAAAATATAAGATATCACCAGACTTATGCTTTAATCGGGCAAATATTCTCAGTCAGTGTCGAAGTAAGAAATGGTTGCAGCTGTTATGTGCACAAGTGTGGTCAGTGTGCGCATGGCTGCATACATGAGCATACATGTGTGCACTTCAGTGTGTTCAAGCATAAATCAGTCCTGCTGACAGGGCCGCTTGAGTGTTGTGGAGACAAGATTGTTCACATCAGCATACTGTAGATTATTGATGGCCTCAGACTGTGTGTGGACACTTTCTATCAATCTCACATGATGGAGGAGCACAGATAGGCTCCTTAATTAGAAGCAAAGTCATTTTAGAGAATAGACACACATATGTGCATTAAAACAGATAGCTGTACTCCAGATGAGCCACTTTATCATGGCTGTCATGTGCCCAACTTGTTTCTTTCTCTTTGAGAAAGTCCATCTGCAAACTGCACTGTGGCTTCACAACAATCTCTCCTAAAAAGGAACAGGGCTTGACTCTTTTAGACATTGTAGGTGTTTATTTTCCTGTCACAGCCTACAGCCTGTTTCGTCCTTTTTCTCCGATTCTTTCCTGTTCTGTCTCTCTGTCCCCGACTCACTCACAGTTTGCACACCCCCTCTCTCCCTTCCCCCTTCTCCCTGCCCTCCCCGAGTGTAGCTGGCCGCTGGGGTTGGCCTCTCTCTCTCGCTGTGCCACGTATGTAACCTAAACTGTGGAGGAGCCAAGCAGGGCTGGGCCACGAGAAAAGCTTTCCATAAGACCAGGCTGAGTCTCTGAAGTCTCTCTGGACCTTGTTTAGTGAGGAATGAAATGGAGCTGCACATTCTCATTTCTTCTCTAAACCGCTTCATTTTCAGCCCTGTAGTCCACATCTGCATCTACCTCAGAAATTAGTCTTAAATTAGTTCCTTCATCTTTTTTATCCCTCTTCCCATCTCCTTTTTTCCCGCCTTTCAGTCCTTTCTTGCACTTAATTTTCCCCCCATGTGTCCCTCTCTCCACTGCTCTTCTCACCTCGCCGTTTCACTTTCACTCTCAGTCTCTGTGTCAGATTTTCACTTTCCTCACAGTATACTGTGTTGCTATAAAATGCCATCCTGGCCCCTCTCATATAAACACAGGCTCCTCCTTCACCCTTACTTCATGTCATTAACAGGTGGCTGTCTAAAATAGACACACACACACACACACACACCACACACACACACACACACACAAACTGTCACAGATACAGACATGTTTTTAATCACCCTGCAGCAACGTTGCTCACTGATTTAAGATGTCAAACGTGTGCAGTATGAACAGGGTGCTGTTGAGATTGAGCAAGAGAGTTGCAGGTGCAGTCAGCAGTGCAGACACACACATTTAATCATCAACAGTGTTAACCAACCAGGCTGCAGCCCCCTCCCTTGTTACACTCACTTTCCATAACCCTTATGTACCTCCCGCCCACCCTTTTCCCTCTCTCTCTCTCTCACTAACTCTCCCATCACCACTTTCCCCCTCTATTAAGTTTCAAGCGTCTCTTACTCCTGAACTGAACAACACACACCAAACAGGTCAGACTTATTCTTCTTTTGACTCGAGTTCATTCGCTGGTTGTTGTTTTCTTATGTACACACGTCACACAGGTGGCTGTGGTTGTCGTTGGTGAAATGGTAGATTGGGTTTCTCATTTTCACAACATAAAATGCACCCGTGTTTCTGAACTTATCATCTGCTCAGCTGTTATAGAACTTAAGTGTGTGCATCATAGCTTCTGTTGCATTATCAACCTCAAAAACATGCATGTGTACACTGCTTAGGATAATCTTGTGGTACAAAGGGGGCATTTGTCTGTGTTATCCCTCCAGTAGAGTAGCCTGGCATGCTCTGACCCCTCCGATGATCCTGTGGTTAATATCGATGTAATGTGATCTAGGTTTGTAATTCTATGACTACTAACATGGCTGTCAGCAGCTACAGTCTTGATATTCTTTATTACAGTTAATGTTGGAGGAGTATTCTAATTCATGGGCGCTGTTCCAAAACCTTGGTTAATTAGAGTCATGCATAGATTTGCTTTATGTTAGCAGTTTATTTTAGAAGATTCTATCCTTTTACGGTGCTTACTGTAAGCTATTATTGGGTGATAAATGTATTATTTGTCAACTTTCCGCAATATTATATCACAATGTTATAATTTAATTTATTATTTATTGTATTTTTCGAAGAAATTCTGTTGTCCAAATTATTGTCTTTGAGTAAATTGTAATTAAAATCTAACTCAGTTAACTATCAAAATAATGTCTGACACAAAAACCAACATTTTGTTTCACACGTATAAAGAGTTTGGTGACATGTAATGTCAATGAAACACAGTTTACATCTTTGAACATTAGTTTGTTTATTTTATATGTGAGTTTGCACACATTTGCTGTATCATTACATACGTATAATCTATAACAGACATTATCTGTACAAATAATAGTGATAATGACTTTAGGGCAGCAACTAACAATTATTGTCATTGTGGATTAATCTGCAGATTATCTTCTCAATTATTTGATCACTGCTTTAATAAAATGTGTTGCTCACAAGTAAAAGGTGTCTTATTTTGTCCACAGATTTCAGTTTACAATATAGAGCAGACAGAAACAAAAAAAATCCTCACATTGGAGAAGCAGTGGATTGTTGGAGTTTTGACATTGACACTGACATTTTGATAAATTGACAAATTTTCTGTATCATTAACCAACTAATCGTTTAAACTATGAAAATGATTTCAACCATATTCCCTGCTGACAGTGACCACTGATACTGATACCACTGACTGTGATATTTATATACTGCAAAACTCTAAATTGTAGTTCACATATTTTATACTGCTTTTTATATTTATATACTGCAGTATATTGTACACAAAGGACTTGCACTTAGTGGGGATCATGTGGTGCGTTGCCTATATAAAACCTCTGATGCTGTCAGCGCAAAGCTCTGAATTAAGTGATCCACCAACTGCTGGTGCTGCCTGGCTGGGCCTCTTGCCTCCACTATGTGACCTGTTGGACTGCACAACAGACTTAATTACTGCAGCCCCCTCTCTGTCAGAGGGTTCAGGCATGAATTATCACCTCCCATGCACCCTGCGCAGAGCTGTGACACCGTTGTACCCCGTCACTCACGTTTTTTTAGACTGCTCCAAAGGCCCCTCACTCACAGTTTGGAATAACAGAAGCAACTCTGTAAGCCTGGACCCACCTACAGTGTACATATCACATACTCAAAAACACACACACTCACGCACAATCAAAAGGACAGTCATGGCTGCAGATTCCAAGTGTTTGCTGGAACACGTAATGCAGGATGAGAGGTATTTGTGGCAACCCATTATCCCCTCAGATCAAAAGGGATCTGTGTCTGAGCCAGAGATAGTGTACCTGCTTGGGGAAGAGCTCTGTTGTCAACTCCGCTGGGAAAATAGAAGATGGGTGGTCCAGTCTGGCGCTGTGGTGTTATCTATCACCTTGACCCCACACCAACCGACTCCACCAGCTCATCCAGCCCCAATTGTTTCTTCATCTGAAGCAAAATCTGCCTTTCAGGGAAACACCATATGGCTTATCTATTGTTGGCTGAGAGCATGTCATATGGCTTTTAGGGAGGGATAACTGTAGATGCTGATAAAGCTGTTGGAAATTAAATATTACACTGATGATGAAAGGATTTTGCTCATGTGAAGCATATGCTGGCTGCTCTTTCATCTTTCCGTTTCATCTCTCTGTTTCACAGGACTGGACGGAAAACAGACACGGGCTCTCCTGGTCCTTGCCTTCGACTCCTCCCATCTTATAATTTCCTTACTTCATCCGTCCCTACTTCATTGTAGCTCTGTTCACATCGCTTTATGTCTAATTTCAATGCTCAGCCCATTTATTTTTACTTCAACCTTTGTTCACTGACTGCTTTTGCTCAATTTACCCATCCATTTCAGGGTAGTTGATAGCTGCCTCCTCTTTTTTAATACACTGGTTTTAAAATGAAAACTATCTTCACCCATAATCTCTCCCCATTTTCTTCTCACTAAATCTCCCTTCCATCTTTTCATCTATTATTTGCTCCTCTAACCTTTAACCTAAGTGCCCTGTTCTTCCCCCTGGTCCTCCTCAGGCCTGTCCAGTTGAGACCAGTATGTGGTCCAACTTCTTTGTACAGCAGGATGAGGAGGGTCGCATCGGGGTGGCAGGGGCTGGACAAGGTGGGGGTCTGGGTGGAATGAAAGGTGGACGGGGACAGAGGAGGACCCCCAAGATGAGTGACAGCCAGGAGGGGAAGATCAAGCTGGCCTTCTTCGTGTCTATCATTGGCGTAACCCTGACGGTGTTGGGCATGGGGACAGAGTTTTGGGTGGAGCTGGCCCAATCAAAGAATTTCAGTGGCAACCAGACCTGCCAGATGGCCCATTATGGCCTGTGGAAGGGCTGTATCCGCACCCTATGGGTGGCTGACATAGACCCAGAGAGGACAAGCTGTGGCCCCGCTGAACTACCCGGAGGTGAGACCTCTGGCTGCTGTGTGTGAGTTTGTGTTCATGTGTCTGTCTGTTCTCTGTGCTGTCTAAGAGGTGAGCAGGTGAAGTTTCTGGAGGGCATGTGTCTGTTTTGTTTCTCTGACTGTCTGCTCACGTCTGCCTCTCAGTAAACTGAATTGCCCGGCCATGCAAGCCTACCTAGTGGCTGCCTCTGTGCTATAATATGTGCCTCTGTATGAAAGTGAATTAATGGAAAGGGGTCAAAAGATGTTTCTGAGAGGTTGCAAGTGGTTGACATCATTGAGAAAACAACTTGTAGACTTAATCGCAGCGATTTTTCTTCGCCATCACCATTGATGTGAAAACAGAGGGAGCAGGGATAACTAATATGATGTATGCCCTCTGGGGATATGCTTGCATCTGTAGGCCTTTCATGTGAGTCCATAAGGGACTGAGGAAAGCAGCACATATTAATTTTCATTCCATGAACAATCTTCAGGTTTCTAAGCAACATATTTATGATTTTTAATATACATTTATTATGTAAATTTTCCCTGTGTGTTTATAGGGTCTATGTATATCCACTGTAACCTTGCAAAGGAATAGAAAAAGGATAGTTGTGTATGTGAAGCTGCCTCCATGTATATGTATCTAGGTCATCCTACAGATAATGTGCAAATTGAATCAATAAAGAAATACGATGCTTGGAAACAGAGCGTGAGCAGGACCACAGTAAAGCTGTTTTCAGTTATTATACTATTGTAACAACACAAAGCAGCATGCAGGTCCATGTAGCATTATGCAATATAATCTTTGTGATTCACAAAATTGTCAGTGTAATGAAGCATTAATTTCAAGTTTTTCCCCTTGACTGGGTACCTAATCATCTCCTGTCGTACACACAGTACAGACAGGTGACAGCTCCTTTCTAAAAGCACTTTATTCAACTTGACCATGGTTAGGTCCTCCAGAGTGCCTTGATTATCTACACAATGACCTATTTCTGTCTGAATAGTAAGTGTAGAGATGGAGAGAGGCAGGTATTAGAAGATAGAGATAGGCAAGGCAGGCTTGAGAAGGAGCTGCTCCTGGATTCACTACTGATCTCAGGGAATCTGCTGAGACACAGCAGAGCTCTGAAGAAGCCAAAAAAAAAACATCTCCTCACCCAACAGAGATACACGTGAATCACATATATACATAAATACTATTCACATACATCATCTTGAATGATGTGTCAACATTGTTTTTCTATCCAGTCGTCAAGGACTAATTCCTCTTACCTGTCAAAATGTCCTGCATCCCTGGCTGCCTCTAGCTAGCAGATATATATCTGTGCCTCCAAGATGGTCTGTTGGTGTGTGAGAGCAGCCAGTATGCTTCTGACAATCTTTCTCACACGTCCTAACACTGTTGGCCCACGCCGCCTGTCGCAGATGGCCGTGGGCTTGTTATGTTTGGACGAAAACAACTGTTTTTGCCATCTCTGCTTCTCTCTTTCACATCCCTGTTTACATGCCTCTGGCTCCCGTCCCGAGCAAAGTGCAGCCCGCTGATGCCGTGCCTGTCATCTCAAGACCAGCCATCCGTCTTCGCTGCCTGCTGGAGAGGAACATGACAGCTCAATAATTATAGCCTCAGCAGGGGTAGCGAGAGCAAAACCAGTTGACTGTGATAGCATAATGTGTTAAAAAATCAGTAGGCTGATAAATGGTGCGTCTGCTTCAATAAAAAATGTTTGCAAATGTGCTCAGGCACAAACATATTTGTGTGTGAAAGAAATGTGTGAGTGTGTGTGCAAGCATGTGGTCATCTTGGACCACAGAATATTCAGTGGGTGAAAGTCATCACTATGCGCTTGTGAAACCAAGTGGAATCTGACTACTTCACAGTTTTTGTCTAAATATAGAGAGGGGGAAACAAGGATGAGGGACAGACAGGGACTGAGGGAGAGTGTATGTCTAATGCAGTATTAACCAACCCCTCTGTGTTTCCTCCCCCCCTTGACATCTTCTGCTCCCCTCACCTCCTTCTCCATCTGTGGCTCCCCTCTCTCTTCCCCTTCACTCACCACCCCTCCATCTGCCCCCAACTCAATCCTCCTTCCCCCCCTCCGCTTCCTCATCCTCTGAGCCTCTATGCATATTTCCTGCATCCATCCTTCATCATTCGTTCACCACAGATATCCTCTTCCTCACTCTTTCTTCTTCTGCAGCCAAGCCTTCCTGTTTCTATCCTCCATCTGCCCCTTTCTCCCTGTCTACCTCTCTTCTTTCTCCCCTCTGCCATCCACCCTCAGTGTTTTGCTGTCTCTCACCCTCTCTGGCGGCACCATATGTGTAGTGCTGGGCAGTGTGTGTGTGTGTCTCTGGGTATTCCAGCTAATGCTCGACACTTGGATATAAATAGCAATAATGCCTGGAAGGACAGGGTGCATGGATGCATAGGAGGTGCATAACAGAAGACCAGCAGCCATCCATAGGAGTGTGTGTGTGCGTTTGTGTGTACATGCGTCTGATCTTTTCGTATGATCTTTTCCCTTCACCCACAGAATCCAACTGCACCTACTTCAAATTCTTCACCTCTGGGGAGAATGCAGTCATATTCAAGAAGACAACTAACAAGAGTGAGACATTATGCTTCCCCCTGCTATTTTTGTTATATATACAGATACACACTAACAGTTACAGTGCAGCTTCTATCAATAAAGATGTTCTCTGTGGTGCTCAGAGGACCATGCTGGTGGTTTTTGCATGTTTCAGCCCATTAACTTCTGCTGCCACCCATTTTCCAAAGGAAATCATAAGCTATCAGACTGATTAATGTGTTTACCTTACTGTCCAGGCAGCCGCTGGTTTTAGTGCAGTTTGAAGTTCAGCTGGCTGAGACTTAAAACTTAAATTACAGTGAGCATAAAGTTAACTTTATCTTTTGGTCAACAAAAGTTCTTAAAATTCCCTTGATGCATTCAAGGACATTTAATGAATAAAGCTATGAGAACAAATATTGGTTGGTTGTTCCACCAATTTTGAATATCTCAACAACTAGTGCATGGATTGCCTTTAATTTTTGTACAGATATTCAAGCTTCCTAATGACTTTGGTGATCCCCAGATTTTTCCTCTAGCCCACCATGAAGTTGACATCTGTGGTCTTGAAGCTGGTTCGAGCGTTGAGTCTCATTCCCAGTTCGTCACATACAGACGCTTTGGGTTAGAGTAAATGGGGAAACAAAAATCGATATTTGACGGCCTGGGAATGACACTCAACAATCAACTGTCTTTATCCAGAATGACTAACTACACCTTTAACCTTTAACTCTTGGATGGACTGGCATACAATTTAGTACAGACATCCATGTTCCCCTCAGGATTCATTCTGGCTAAATAGATAGATTAATATTTCTTATATCATTTTATTATCAGGTAAAAATGTGTTAATAATTTTTAATTAAATTAATGAGCTGATGTCATCAAGATGGTGTTCGTGGTAAAACATTATACCCACTAAACATCAACATTTTAGCTTTGCCTTTATGAACATAGCATGTGTGTGTGCCTACAGCATGACTTCACACTCTTCAGTCTTGCTGTCTAAAAATGGTTGCTGTTTGGCAGCCATCTAGTAGATGATCTAAAGTTCACAGGCACCAACAAGAAAGACTTTTTGGTGCCAAGTGCATTAACAAAATAGCAAAACTTTGACAAACCTTTGTTCACTATGACGATTAAGTCTCTATAGGTTAATTTTTAAATCTTATTGGCACACCAATGGCTGCCATAGAGGATCGGAAAAATATATCGATCAATCTAAAAACTGTAAGATTTTATTAATATTTATATCACCTCCCTTTGTCCTTCTTTTCCCTCCCAACAGCAAAACCCATTCCTAGAGCTTATATCTGTTGTGTTTTAATTAATAAAATAATAATAATAATGATATCTGTGTGATTTAGCGTCAAAAATACAAAATTGGCACTGGCTATTGTGAAATGTTGACTGGCTTTCTGGGTTGCACCTGTGCTGGCTGACAATGCCAATAAAATCTGTTTTAAACAGAGCCAGTATGGGAAGTGGCACAATTCACACCGTGTTTGTGTTTTCACATTTCAGTAATCAAGTGTAATAAACTAAAAGCCAAGTTGATTCAAACTTTAAGATGATGCAATGTCGGATTCTATTAAAATAGTAGTTTCCACACAGTATTTCACTATACATCTGACATCTTTCCTGTATATTATGGATTTTAACTTTAACTACACTTATTTTCACAAATTCTCTCAAGCACTTTTATATTCGAATCCTTTTTCTCTTTTGATTTCTTTCTGCTCTCCTTCACAGATCTGAATCTAGCATCAGCTGTCTTGGCCCTTTTGAGTCTGACCATGATGGTAATGGGCTCCATCTGCATCGGCATGTCCCTCAGCAAAGGAGTGGCCTTCTTTCTCAAGCCAGCCTCCTTCTGCTTTATCCTATCAGGTGGGACCTTGTGATGCTATGTTACCTGTTTACATTCATATATGCAATATGCTCTTTCTTTGTGTTTTTGTTACCTTAGAATAAGTTGTTTTTATCTACAAAGGGAGCGGCGGGTCCACCATGTTAAACTGCCATGTTTTCACAGTAGTCCAGAACGGACAAACCAAACACTGGCTCGAGATACAGGGCCACCGTAGTTTCTCCTACACACTAGGAAGGCTGAGCTGTATTCAAATGGATGCAACAAGCACTAAATCTTACACACTTTTTCTTTAAGTTATCTTCTAATGTGCTTTTATTTTAACCTCTGTGCAGGTGTACTGGTCCTTCTCTCTGTCCTGATATTCCACCAGTCGGTGCTGGCTTTGCTGTCCAGTGACCACTCCATACCTTTACACCATGAGCTGTCCTGGTCTGTGGCCTGCGTGGGCTCAGCGGGAGCCATTCTTATTTTCGGAGGTTTCCTCTTCATCATCCTCTCCCTTCCTTTTAGCCCCTGGCAGAAATGCTTGCCGCACAAGAATAGCGCCACCTAGCACATGAATGCTAAAATATGCACACAGTATTCTTGATGTCTTGTGTGAGTGCAAGTGGAAAAGTCCTTTTCCTAAGGGCTGTGACTTTGCCTGCTCTTGGCATTTAAATTGTCAGAGAAGTCATACTAGGTCTTAATTAAATATATGAAGACAAGTCAGCAACACTTTAGTAAGGCCTCCAGAATTTGGTTTTGCAAAAATTGTTTGTTTTAGTGTTTTTTAATAGAAAATAGATGGAATGAGCAACAGGGCTACTGTGACTGTTTAATTTTTTTTAGCTTGATGTTGTGTTTACTTAAACAAATGTCACAAATAGCCCTGTTAGCCTGCTTATAGCTGTACAGTCACACATGAATCTAAAATCTCTGCTAGAATAATAAAAAACACAAATGTTTTTAAATACTCTTTTGTATTTTAAAACCTTTTGTAGTCTGTTTAATATGGAAGTCCTTTAACTTTCATAGTTTCTGCAGCAGCATCAGAATGTATCGGAGCGTAGCAACAAATACTGTTTTTGACAATGCTAACCATCAGTATGAAGGAGGTTCTGATTTTACATTACTTGTCATATCTGCTACATGTTGCGTAAGGAATAAAGTCGATGAGTATCCTTAATATTCTAGCATATGAAGCTTTTTAAACACTTAAAACTTGATAAACAAGAGGCTTCAGTTGTCATTATTTATTACTTATGTGTATTTTACAACTATTGGGCGAATGCTGCTTCAGTATACCAGATGAATGTATGTTGAATGAAATCAACTGTGAGAAGTGATAAAAATACCATTTTGTATATCAGAGAATTGTATGGACTCACTTTATAAGCTCAACTTTGTACATAAACTGAATGAATGAGTTTATATTTTATGAATACTCTCTGTAGCGTTGTCGCCAGTCACTTTATTTGCAAGATGTATGCAGTAAATATATTTTTGTCATAGCATCTCAGCTTATCTCTCTACCAGGAAATGATATTTTACAAAATATATGCTGTGCTCATTTCTACTCATATACATGTACAGTATGTTGCACCAGTTTTGCTTATCATTAAAGGGACTTGACATAAAATAATTGTCTCCCTTTTGTTTGCTGACTCGCCACCCTGTCTGCTCTCAAACTTGACATTCGCCCATTTTCACATTGTGACTCCTAACCTCTCTGCCAAACATCCCCCTCCCCCAAACCTGCTTCTCTATAATTAGGCCAGAGCTCATCGTAATGCATTTCACTGCAGAGGTTGGGAAACTTTATCCTTGAATTTCAACTATGTACCCCCCAGCCTATACTCATACCTCTGTGCCCTGTCCTCCCCTTCTCCACCCCTGACCTCAGTGCGTCACTTTCCCTGCTGTCTCCATGGGAGCCTGCGGTCACTGCTCCTCCACCCCACCTCCAACCCCCCTCGGCCCAGCACACACAACGGACCCATCAGATCAGAGATGTCCCAATAACTACTCTAACACCCAGCCCACTAGGGGAGTGAGTGGCATCCAGACAGTCACTCAGTTGCTCACCTGCAAGCGCACACACTCTCTCACACATGCATTTAACTCTGGGTGGGCAGAAACTGAATCCACATGACACACAATCCTGGTTGTATATATAGCTGTTAATAGTCCTACTGAGACAGTGTGACAAGTGGGGCGCAACCACTAGCTGCATGTTTGTAAATGGAAATGGGCTTCCAGGAATTCTTGATAGAGGACCTGTAGATTGAAAGTGGGAGAGGAAAATCTCAACTCTTATTATTGAGATGAAATATGAATGGCCATATATTTGAAGCTGTATTTCCCTAAACTGTGATAAGGAAATGTTCCTGTGTAGTAGGGTGGCATGTTTGCTTTGGCAGCCTTTCTTCCTTCCTCCTTGAATCTGTCATCACTGTGACTGTAACTAGGCTGCAGTAGGTATGATAATAGCAGGGGAAAGCACTCCAGATAACTAATCCTTGGGGTCTAGGGGCACTGCTAGGTATCTCAGGCCCCTTGTCAAGAATGTGGCACTTTACTAGAGCACCACAAGGCTGTGTCAGCACTTGTGTTTTTAAATACTTGACGATCTATCTATCTATCTATCTA